TATTGTGTCTTCCCTGTTTTCTTTCGTTTCTGTACGGCAATGAAGGTTCTAATTTTTAATTGCTATTTCGAAATATTTGAATGTGTAATTTAAAATACCTACTCCTTATTTTAAAAATACTCTTAAAAAGCATTATTGAAACGATAATTGATGTTAGTCTACAATGTTAGTAGAGGGTTAAATCCACAACTGACCACATAATTTTATACTTAGTGTCACCATGATCATCCAATTTGATTGTTTCACTATGACCACCGAACTTTATTTTAGTATTACCGTAGCCACCCAATTTGATTTTATTTCACCATTGTCATCCAATTCCATATAACGTTTCACCATGGCCACCTAATTTCATATAACAATTCATCATGGCCATCCAATTTCTTTTCACCTTTTCACTAATTTTAAAAGAGGTAAAACAGTAGCTTTGTATATATAAAAATATATTTTTTAATTTTGAAAACATTTATTTTAAAATAAGTTTTTATTTTAATTTTGTTTAAATTTATTTTATATATAAAATGCGAAGTTGCCGTTTTACCACTTTAAAATTAGTGGAAATGGAGAAACGAAATTGCGTGGCCATTGTGAAGCGTTATATGAAATTGGGTGGTCATTGTGAAATAAAATTAAATTTGGTAGCCATTGTGATACTAAATATAAAGTTCGGTGGCCATAATTAAACAAAATCAAATTGGGTGACCATAATGACATCAAGTATAAAGTTGGGTGGCCATTGGTTGATTTAACCCTAATATGAAAGTTTTTGAATCCATGCAGAAAACTCAAATTCGCACTATGATTTTTTTACTCCGTCACCTATAATTCATCCATTTCTTCTACACATCCGCTGTTTGATTTGGCTAATTTTTTAGTAAATTTTTGTAAATGTTGATGAAACGTATGAATAAAAATTTGATAAAATTTCAATTATGCTATATGTACATCATTCTTTACATATTGTTTTACACTTTGCCACATAATAACATACCTTGGACATTTTAAATTTTTAACAGTTTTTTTGTACTATCAACAATAATATAAACAAAAGAGTGTACAAGTGGCATTTTCTATAAAATTTATAGTCCCATAAATTATATGATTAAAAATAAATTTGGAGATAGAAGCAAATAATGCAGTGCTGAAAGTAGAATGTCACAAAATACGCGTTACAATATTTTTTATGGGGTTGCATTGCTTTTGTCTTATATAGTTCTGTCAATTGCTAATTTTGAAACTTGAAATCGTCCAGGCATGATTTACCAATTGGCTTTGGATAGAACTTGGCCAAATGTTCATTTACTGTAAAGTCTTTGTACATGGGGGTTTTCTTCGGATATCAACTCTTCGATTTGACCATAGACCTTCGCAGGATCCATGACTCATAGTGATGATTTGGTGTTTGTAAGAGACGTGGGAAAATTATTAATTCTTGTACACGAAGGCAATGATATGTAATTCACCCGAGTCCAAAAGTAAATAATTTTTGACGAAATTCTCAACTTCATTCGAATGGGACCCGAATTTTAAAGCATTATCTTCGTGGACTGGATGTTGAGTCCCAATCAAAGAAGTACCCGCTTGAAGACGGTGGGATCATTGGACAAAAATAAGGAGACGTGTCTTACTTCCAACCTTGTGGCAAATTTTTATTTTTGGCTTTTCTTCGCATGGATGGGAAGGCTGATTACGGATTGAGGGCTACCGGTGGTAGTTGCCTTAAGTCGGAAATAGGTCTAACGCGGAAGAAGGTGAAAGTAGAAAACGAAATGTGAATTTGGAACAAGTATAAATCTAACTTTTCTATGACCATGCTTGTCTGAAATTACTTTGTCGTGTAGAGAAAATAATAAGATGTCTCTGTGACAATGCTTGAGCTAATCATCCTTATCCACAAGCTGTTATGGATTTTGAAGCGGCAAGCTATCCCTTAAGGTGGATGATGAGCAAGAGAAATTGCACGTTTATATCACTATTGAAAAGCCATCTCAAAATGAGGAAAGTCGAAAAGTTGAGGAGCAAAAAATAAAATATCCTAAAAGTTGTCACATAGAAAAGGAATAGGTCGAATCATTGAAAACCTCAACGATCAAAGTAAATTGACTTTGATTTAAATTTTTATCAATTTTTTCAACTAAGCCAAACACGGACTTTATATTTTTGATGTTACTGCGGACAAATTAACTTCAATAAATTATATAAAGTTTCATGCTAATTTATCTAAATGCGTATTAGATATTACATCTTTTTAACCAACATATAACACAAAGGGTCCGTTTGATTGTAAAGGTGAAAAATTGGTGGAAGAAAAAATGAATTCCAGGGAAAGTAATTGCCTATAAATTGTTTTGCAGGAAATTGTTAATTAAATGTGTTTTATTGATATAATTTTTCACCCGGGAAAGTTTTAAATTTTGAATTTTTTTGTGTTCGTTTGACTTTGTTTTACATGGAAATTGTCCATTAAAGCGATATTTTTT